AGTACAGGTATGGAAGTCAAAGAACTATAACCATCAGTCATTATGAGTCGGAAGCGGTGAAAGGACTAGGAATTCTCACATTCACAGTGCCATCTGAAGTAGTGGCAATGACTGCGCGGTTCAGAGCATCTGATGCCAGGCCAGTAATACTACGCTCGCTGGCTTTTGATCTTGTCATGGACGAAAGCTCAAGACGATCGATCAGGGCTTGAGGGCAAGGTCCAACCTTGAACGACTTTCGCTTCAACCCAGACTGCATGTTCCACATGTGTATCTCTCCATTGAAGATCCCGCAAGACCGAAATTTCCACAAGCAGTAACACAAACACACTAAATTACAGGATGAGGATACCGAATGAAGCAAGAAAGACGACGTACCTTTACAACACCTGAGGGAGACTTCCTTTTGGAACTCTCAGCGGAGTTGAACGTGTGCTTTCCAACGCGCTTGTTGAGTACTGTCCAAGACCGTACACACATCTCATCAGCATGTGCGGTCAGGACGTCATCCCAGTCCTTGGATCGTGTCGAGGAACAAGAAATGGAGGTGATAGGAGGGAATTTCAACGAAGTAAGAGGTTTTGATAGAGTCGTAGCTTTCCGTGCGAGAGATCCTGAGCAAATTGAGGTTAGCCATTAATAACACCATTCTGCACTCAAACCCACCTTGCGACATTTCGTATGACCTCGAATCTCGAACAACAGAGATATACCGTAGGGTACGGTCTGCTGATGCAGATACAATTGTTTACCATCTTCGCCATAAAACCGAATGAGATGTGGGGGTGCATGATGACCAGATCTGAATTTCAGGAGTCGAGGAACAGCGGTAGGGGATTCGTACAACCATTGCTATTTGACGATCATCAGTGATGAATAGACTTGCTTGTTCTTATAACTACCTTGACGCTGTTATCCTCACCTGAGCTGATGAGGACAGGCTGTCCAGGGACCCACTCAAGTGCACTAACAGCACCATCATGTGCACCCCGGATGAGGTGCAGAAGCCGACCTCCAGAATCTAGATCCCAGAGCTATGTGTCCAGATGACGAGGCAGACGCCAGAATCGGGTGACCATCTAGTATGCAGCGAGATCAGAAATTTGCTCATGCTTATGGTAACGTACCACTCCGGAAAGATAAAGCTTTGATTCCACCATCATCCATGTACATTCTCATCAGCCGCTCATCAGCACGAACGTCGTACACAGATATTTCTCCTGACATAAAACCAACACCAACTACATCGATAGCAGGGGACTGCGTTAACGCTGTGATGGGACTCGACAATGAGTTCATATGCTGCTGAGATGGTAATGTGCGCAATAGAGAATTAGAAAATTTGTGTATACAAGTCCTGTAGTAGCCATTGAATCCAAGTAATAGATTGCAGATATTCAACTCACTGTGTACGGATGTTCCAAAGTTGCATATCGCCCTCCTTGCTGGCAACCAAAACTTTGTTCAGATATGTAGCAGGATGGAGAATTGATGTAGCAGTAAACCCAATATCAAACTGAATAGTTGTAGATAGGGCTTGTTCTGGAGTAATCATGAAACAAATACTCGAGGTGATCGAGTAGAAAGCGCACCATTGGTCGATACCTCCCATATTAGCATCCGCGCACCATCTTCCGTCAATGCAAGCAACTGAGTACCAAACAGAATGACGAATGCTAAGGGGGTCTGGAGCGGATTCGACACGCGTGAAACCTGTAACCAAGTCAAAAAAAAGTACGTGGAACATCTGAAAGCTCCTACCTCTTTTCCTCGGAGATATTTGATTACATGTACACCAGACGCTGCCCAAACAGCATCTCCATCCATAACTAGGCACGAAATAGGGTCTTGAACTTCCGGACCTGTGCACCATTACACAGGAAAATCAAGCATGCCTTCTGACTTGAGACATACCAATAACTTACCCACAATAACAGGCCCATCTTACCCCCCTCCCATAACGCCCATGATCTGCCGAGACAGGTCAAAATGTGTATCCGGGGCCCCTCAGTTGCATCCTTGTAAGAACGGGTTTGTATATAGAATGGTATATGGTTTGTGATTAGACCCAGAGCGCGGAATGGTGCAAATAATATAGGCACTCTGGGCAGGTGAGTGGGACTTGTTGCACGTTTGCGTTTTGTGCTGCTGCGAATCCTTTTACGAGGGCGAGCTTCTATCATCTCCGCATCTTCGTCATTCCGAGCAGCCATGGGCACACTGATCGCCTGCGCTAGACTAGCAGTAGATGGACAAAAGACCGACGAGAGTGACTAGTGCCAGTGAAGGATCGTAAAAATGAAGTTACTACTTCGAAAAATCATCTCACGTGACCTGCTAAGTAGAAGTATTTTTTGCTTTCGTGGCTAAACATATGCATAAACGTCCATGATCGATTAGCATTGATAGGTACTGCAGTCAGCCGCTAATATTCTAGTGCTGTCGCGTTGCCTTTGCTCCGTCATGGTGGTTTTCATCCAGGTTCCGGTTTATCAAACTTTTCATCATATTCAGTGTATGATCCAGATTATCGTCTTGCCAATGCACGCGAAGCGGCGAAGGAAAATCGTCGTGATGCAACTGAGTCAAGACAAGGCAGTCGTGGTGATACTAAAAGCTTGCATTTCAGTATTTCAGACAGTGGGTGACTTCCCGTGGACCTAAATAATCCTGAATAGAATATCATTTCACGCATTAGGAAGGTGTGCCGCGATGCCGGGTGTCATTTCATCACCGTTTGAAATTTAACGAGGGTCTGCCCCCCCAATAAACCTTAAATCTGTAGGGGGGGGGTACCCCCCCCCCTACAGATTATTCTGACGCGGAATAAACCATACTTACCTTTTTAGGACCACTTACACCAGCGATATCCGCTGACATAATCATACCGCGCCGTATGTGCGCAGACTCTGTTGTCTGGCGCCGTTCGATACTACTACCGTTCCTGCACTCCAAACATCCCTCATATACTTTTCTTGTTTTCACATGTACTGATTTGGATGCTTTGTGAAGAGCTAAATCTCTGAATTCTGGAATAGGTGTGTTGTACCACCTTTTTACAAAGCCTGAAGTGAGGATGGAGCTAAATGTCTTGACATCAAGCCCCATTGTTGTGATAAATGCACGATTGTTCTGGGTGGCAAACAGGACCTGCCATGGGGTATCTTTCCGTGGGTTTGGAAGGAGCTGCGGACGGCAGAGATATAGACGTCGTGGCTGCCGATTTTCGATACGATCTTGGCGTGCGAGCTCAACACCAACTAGGATGGTGGCAGCAATAGCCAGCGCAGCTTCTTTGTCGTCATCTTCTTGCTGTTGCAACTCTGCTCCGTTCTTTAGAGATTGAATTATCAAGTCATCTGAATCCATAGTGGTGGATGCAGTCAATATTCCGGATTATCTATTGGTCTGCGGTTTAGTATTTTTTACAGATTATCCTACAGACTCTTTTTCAAATTTGTTTTCGAGCTCCGGTTTATGATAATCCAGATTATTTAGCCCACGGGAAGTCACCCAGTATCCGTGTTGATTATGAGAACTCTAGCAAGCCAACATACTAATGCTCCACACATGAGTATATTGGATGATTGACATTAATCTGCAAGTGAGAGAAATACATACAAAGCTCTATTCCGTTTACAAGTCATACATTTTAGTTGCAAATAATCGCTATGCAAGCCATTAAGCTTCATGCACCGCAAGAGACCACCATCGATAAGGTATAATCAGGTACTCCACTTTCAGGTCTAAGACAGGGGTATCAGACGTCCCTCACTCTATGCTTCCGTCTTCTACTTGGCACCAATAGTGTCATCTTCCGTGTCCGTTCGTGCGAATTCAGTGATGTCGTCACTGGAGCCTTGTCTCTTTTCCTTCTCAAGATATCCTGACTCTGTGACTGGTGAGTTTTCTTCTATCGTCACTTGAGCAGCACCCTTCTCGACGTCTCCTGACTTCTTCTCGCCGCCACGGATGATTGTGCGCTCTAGCGTATAGCCACGAATAAAGAGAACCAGAAAGAGACCGAATACAGATACTGGCGTGTTGACCAACCAAATAGTACTGATAGACCGCGAGTAAGCATGCATAACCTCATTACGCACTGCGGGATTCTGGTAAGATCGGTAAGTAAGCCGGAACAAAAATCATGAAATTGTTTCTGACAGAAATGGAAGAGATCTTCCTGACACTATCATTCAAAGCCGCTGCAGAAGTGTCCATGGTAAGGCCTTGGATGCCCCGCAGTTTCTGCTGAAGGACACTGGAAAGAATAGTTTCTCCGATCGTAATACCGATCGTACCCCCAAGAGTTCTGAAAACCAATAAGTACCAGTGAAATGCACATCGTAAAGTAACACTCACCGGAGGAACATAAAAGCACCTGTGCTGGTGGCCATATCTTTGATAGGCATTGCTGCTTGTACAGCAACAAGCGGGGTCTATCACAGAAGCGACACTGAGCACGGGTCGTTATGATGATGTTGTGAACTCACCTGGAACAAGCAACCAATACCAAGCGCTGCAATCAAGGGGTAGATTTCCTGCTCTGCGCTGTTTAAAAGAGCTATAGTGATCACCTGACTTCGACAGTGACTATAAACATACATAGTGCTCGTATTGTCCAACATGATCATGAGACCCCAACCAAGCGTCATGACACTCCATCCGAACCAGATGGCAGGACGGTAGGATCCCGTTTTGGTTACAACTATTCCGGAAACCGCTGACATGAGCGCAGTGGTTAATGAATAAGGTAGCATTCTACGTATATCAGTAACCTGGGAACAACGACACATATTCAACGCTCACTTAATGCCAGAGTTCGTTGCCGATGCGCCAAGAACTGGTGTTGAACTCAGCAGAATGCATACTCGAAGGCTGTAAGACGGATCTACCTTGGTAGTACATTGGAAGGTAGCTAGAAGCCCGCATGAGAATGTCAGATATAAACTCTGTCTACAAAATACTCACTATGAACCTGGAATAACGGTATGCATGATTACTAAGACCCAAGACAGGTATACGCACATACCTGTGAAGAATACTACAGCATGCAAGACTACAGAAACTAATATCAAGCCAGTTGTGCGTGTCTGGAAAACCATGAGAGACAAGATGAATGACTTTCTTGACAACTCACTTTAAAAAGACGAGGTGGGATGATGGGGGATCGCTTCGTGTATATCTCATTAACGCCACCAAGGATTATCAACGTGCCTCCCACAGCAAGGAGAGCAATGGTTTCGCCGCTTTGCCCTAAAGACCGGTAAGATTTGGTTCTTTAGAACAGAAAACATAGCGTTACATGTCGTTTCGCTTGAGTTGAAACCTATAAGCAGGCAAATGACACCTATAACAATCACGAAAAGCCCAATGAAATCGAATTCTCGGAGATGGTCACGGAATGGTCTTCTTTGATGGGGGTTTAAATTTAAGAAGAAGAATAAAAGTATGCCAGATAAGCCGCCAGTCGGTCTGTCTCGATAATGAGCTTCCGATCTGAGCACAAACATTGGAGATACATATCGAACGCACAAATTGATCCAGAAGCACCTGGTACGCATCGATTGAGATTTGGATCAAAAACAGAATTCGAATACTCACCACCTCCAACTTACATGATCGGTAAAAACCTAGAGTACAGAAAAATGATCAATTTTCAGATCGCTTCAGAAGATGCAGAGACCTTACACCGCCGATTAATGGTCCAATAACGCTGAGAAAATGTATAAGGTTTGAGCCTTTGAGGACTTGACTAGTCAGTCTTACCTTGCTATGCCCCAGGTGGCACCGATGAAACCACCATACTTGCCTCGGCTGAAGAATAAACAAGATCAAAAACAAACCAGGGTTAGTAACAGATACTCACTCTTGCAATGACACAATGTCAGATATAGTGATCTGTACGAGTTGCATGATGCCCCCGCCGCCAATTCCTTGTACAGCACGACAGACAATCAACCATGTCATAGTCTGTGCTGCGCCGCATAACGCTGAACCAATCTGATCTATAATGTCAATGTCAAATGGGATGCACGTGCTGGGGACATACTAAAAATATGACGATGGACCCATATAGTACGGGTTTGCGGCCTGCAGATGCCAATCGTTAATTTCCGAGCGACGATATAGCACTAAAATAGCACTGGCCTAGAATATTGGATAGTTTGCCGTATAGCGGGCCCAAAGAAGCGGATGCCAACATGTACGCACTATACGAAAAGATGTTGGTGTGATAGCACCAACCTTAATTTGCATAGACGAACCTTCCTACCCAACTGTAGTTCTGCCCCCCTCCAAGGTCCGCTACGATTGTGGGCAAGGCGGTGGCTACAATAGTCTCGTGAAATGTGAGTGAGATTTTGACGAACAACATAAGAATTTGCATACTTGATCTAAAGCTGCCAAGAAAGTACTGCACATCAAACCGAAGAACACAATTCCCAAGCGATTTTTTTGGGACGATATGCTCCTCATCCTTTTTCCATGATGCGCCTGGGCTTTGTTTGGCCTCTTTGACTGGAGATGACGGCTCGGCCATCGTTGTCATTTTTTGAGAGTCTCGTCACTCGAGGGCACCACGAGTGGATTTCAAGAACGGACTGACAGCGTCAACAGAGAAGGGGCAAAAGGAAAGTAGGTTCATGACTAGCTGGTATAATACTTAAGGGTAGAGTGCTCGAAAGTTGTGCCGAGGTGCCTGTATTACTGAGCAAAACGATAAATTTGGCTGACTCATGTACATCGTCAAAGAACATTGGTAACAAGAAAGTCTTACTTACCATGAAGATCGGCCTCCCGTGCCGTAAAATTGCGCTCCCGGCAGAGTCCTAGGAGTAATATTCATCCGGTCGACATGTTAGGTCTTAGTCAGTTATTCGGAATTATATTTAGTTTCCGGCCAGAAGAAAATGAACGATGGTGAGCATGAATCCTTCCACGGACTATAATAATATAGCCAAGGTCGTAGTGCTACTCGTAACTCCTCGGGATTAGTATTTTTCATCGCTTTGGAATCGGCCTGCGCACCGATAAATTAGTGCCTTTGGTGTCTCGAGAGAACTCACGCGTTCAACTTAACTATCAGGAATTCAAACCATTATTTAATTGGTTGTTCAGTTTGACGTCTGTCTAGTTATTAATTATAGAATTATCCAATATCTGCGTAGACACTGACGGATCTAGAATAGTTTGACGTCTGTCTAGTTATTATAGAATCATTCAGTATCTGCGGTCATCAATATATTAATAAGCGCTTAAGCATTTAAGTATGTTAACCGATTGGTCATGGACCTGGTTCCGGTTAATGCACGTATCTTCGGCTCCATGTACATGTCATTTTTGATTTTGTGACGGTTATAGATTTATTGAAAGGTCTAGCAGTAATGAACTTTGTTCAGCCTCCAAAAGCACCAAACGGTTCACGGATACTAGCAACAACCCACGTACTGTGCCATCGACAATAACTCTAATCCAAAAGCAGAATCATTGTCGCCATGTGCAGGCAGAATAACAGAATGACGTCAAACGTGCTTCATACGTCGACTACGGTTAAAATTAGTTTCTCCTAGACAGCCCAGTCGTTCCGTTGTTGGAATGTACATGTGACGTCTTGGGTGCAATAAGCACTGAGTTACTCGTACTCGGTCCGGGATGAAGGAAGCACGCGCCAGATATGCAGCAGCAGACGACCACAGAAAACACATACGCAGCTGTTACCCTCAAATTGGGATAGGGTCCAGAGCTCGATCTCAGTATTATGACCTTGAGCATTTGCCGAGTCTAATAAATGCGACTCCAAAGGCAAGGAGGAGAGCAGTGAAGAGACATTGCAACCGTCGTTAAAGTCCCTGTTCAACAGTCAGCACTGCAGCGGTCACAATGATCTTCAGGCTTTCCCAGCGATTTTCTTGGAACCACCAGCCATAGCAAGCCGACGTAACAGAAGATCGCCGACCGAAAGAGTAAAATCACAGTACCAACCAGGTCACTGACATGGGATTCAGACCCTGGCACGAGACTCAGAATTTCAAGTACTAGTATGCGGGGTAATCAGATTAGTATTGGTAACCGAGCCAGGCTGGCAAAATAATTGACTTAGCCCTAGGTACATGCATGCATGTGGAAGTACTGCTGTTGTTTACGATGCAATAGCGTTGTGAAAGCCAGAACTCGTGATTAAGTTCTGGGTCCGCGCTTCACGATGGAAGATAATTAAATATTGCTGCGCTACTTACATCAGTACTGTTGAGACTGACCGGAGCCTATGAGAAGGAACGACTTATCTTGTATAAACTTGAAGGTCTGGCTAATTAGGGCCACCGCAACATTAAGGGCAACCAACGTGCAGAAAAGCTCGCAAAAGAAGCTACCAGAGGCAATGACTTGATCGTCGCGACATGTGCGAATGAACGACGACGTACTAGTAACATGTTAAAGAAGTGAACGGAAATTGCGAATCCACCCGCCAGCGCATCTACCTGCGCACGGTTTCTCGCAACCTCATGACAAGTGAAATC